GTCAGGCGGGGCCTCGTAGCTCAAGTGGTTAGAGCGTTGGCTGTACTAAAGCCTTCCCCTTACTGCATGGGTTCGAATCCCACCGAGGCGGCGAGTTTTTTCCAGTTTGGTCAATGCGAATTATTCAAAATCTGCCAAGATATCTATGAAGTACTGCTGTTCGCTAAAAGTCGTGGATGGGGGAGGGTCACCAGCAGGAGAAATAGCGCTATACCGCTCTGTAATGAGGATCAGGCTGCACTGGCTGCCTTTTCAGTACTATCACGCATGTGAGATTCAATACTCCTTCGGTGAGGCCCTATTAGTATGAAGCTAGAGATCAGGTAGTGTGTAATATGCGTGGCTGCCTATAAAGGCTCCGAATAGGATCGAAAAGTTTATCTCTTAACTTACACTGTCTCTGATGGCTGAGCTCTAACTTATTTAAAGAATACTTCTACATCCCGAGAAATGTTCTCCTGCATTTGCACGGCCAAACTAAGCTGGTTTGTTCCCAGATGGTAATCACACTTACATTCGATCCTTGATGGTCGCTAGCACAAATGTGCTTGTTTCTATTTTTTGCAAAGGTTGAAACCTAAAGTCATGATACGAACAACTTAAGTCTGACGCGCTGTCAGCTACTTTTCTTAAGAGTATAAGTGCTTCGATAGAGTTTCACCAGGACACGAATCAAATAATTAGTTTCATCCCATATATGGCAACGGCATTCGGCAAATCGCACAACAAACGGAGCATGTTGTACTGTTAGAGCATTGTGGAGCGTACTGACGAGCGAACTCCTGGCAGTTACGTCCTACAGAAAAAAGACAAAAAACTCGTATGTTCTGTCTTAGCTACTATGTACCTCTGTCGTGGCACCAATAGCTGGCCGCGTTCCAAATGCACCGGACAAAACCTGGGACTGTCCGATTCACATCACACATTTAGCAGGCTGCGCTGAGTCCACACTGAGTCTTGACTGTTGCCGCTCATGCGTTTTATACCCCGCCTTACATGCAAGCCTTCATTCCTCGTCAGCCCCTGCATCCAGTCCCATATTCCGCTGGTTGAGATGTTCGAACAGCCTTTCGGCGTAATGAGTGAGGGGGACACTGGGGGAACCTATTCCCACGGTAGATCAGCGGATTCCTCATTATAGTAAATTTGACGAGCTAGAAACTATCATGACTCTCTAAGAGTGGTGACTTGGAGAGTTGTCAACTGATGAGATAACACGGTGCTTATCAGGACTGAGAATCAGACTGTAGTGGGCCCTTCTCAATGTGAACTTCAGGGCATTCTAGCCTATGTGAGATCCGGATTATACTCACCGTAGCCTGCTGCGTGTAGCGGAGGCCGGGTCGCGTGCGGCGAGCGTAGACGGACTGTCTAGCTTTGCTAGCCACTGCATCCGCGCCCACCTCGATCTCCTTGGCAGTGCCTTATCATCAGAGGGAGGTGGACGGAGGAAGAGAGAGGTTGGTGGATGTTGCGCAAGTCTGCCTCACTACAAACCGATTCACAAGTACGTCACTGTTGCTGCGATAGAGGAAATCTTTCCAATTTAATCAGCATGCAAATTGTATTCGACGTTAAATACGGGTGAATCGTCATTTCTCTGCAAAACATTCGGCTTTTTGGCGCCTTTTGGAATCCTGTATTGTAATCATCCGCAGACAATGTTAGGAATAGAGAAAGGTTTAACAACGAAAACGGGTGAGCGGGAATAAACAATTCCAGTGCAGTTACCGCCTTAATTCATCCATGCCCCAACTGTGGGTTAGAAGCACCTGATATTGGAACGCGAGCAAGTAACCTTGCAGTTGAGTTTTTCATGATTAGGCCACGGGTTGTGCTCTGTCGGTTGTGATTAAGAGCGTTCAAAGCTGCAAGGAACTGCCGATTACATGTGATCTGTCTTCTTGTAGTGGGCAATGCGGTCGGAACACAAGACCGCCCCCCCTTATCGCGCTGTAGTATGGTCAGGTTGGTGATAGACATATTCGTGTAAGCGTCACCTACGGCCTACATCTTGTTGCAAATCATGCAATTTCCAACTTATTTCAGTCATCCATTGGATTCGTAAGAACTAAAAGCCCTTTTTCCGCACAGGGACCCTTCCACAGGCGCTCAGAACAAACCGCGCAAATTTATCAATCCGCGCATGCGCCAAAGAGATGAGAGACCGGGCTTCACCAAGTCCAAATAATGGTGGGCGTTACCCTACGTCAAGAACTTCGCGGGCACCGTCAACAGACTTCTGGCACCACTAGGAGTCGGAGTTGTAGACAGACCATAAGCAGCTACCAGGCTCCAGGTTGGGAGGCCAGATGATCGATTGTCGTGACAGGAAACGTCTGACGTCGTCTACTGTATCGGGTGCAGTTGCAGACAAGTTAACTACGTGGAAGAAAGTGAGAGATTACTCTGGACGCGAAGTGTAGAAAATTTGACAGCAATGTGGATGGATGACGCCAGCTCTCAGGTCAAGGCTCATTCAGCGAGACCCGGACACATTCGAATTCAACGAGACCGGGATTCTTGTGAGAGAAGACAATCGCGTAAACTGCAGACTGCTTGAATCCTGGGTCTTTGACCCGCAGTCCATTAACAAGAGCAATAGCCGTCCACCTCCATATCCATATTCCGCCTGCGCAGAATAATTGGTCAAGGGGGAAGGTGTGGGCGAACACCACTGTCAGTAACTAGCAACGGGTCAAACGGCCGAGTAATTATCACACCAGGAGTCAACACCAGTGATGAAGGTACTGCAACTAACAACTCGAACCTAAAAGGAGGAGTAATTATTGCACCGACTAAGACCAACGGCAACTGCTGATTACGATAGGCATGCGATTAGCCGACAGCTGCATCGTATAAATACTGCATCCTCCGCGAGTTCATTATCCCTATCTACGACTGTCTCTGATGCTGGGTTCGAGTAAGAATCCGATAATTCAGCCGAATAAACTTCTTGCTCCGGCGAATTAGATGGTTATGGAAACAAGCAGGGTTTAATGACGTAAACCAAGTTTCCTGACCTCGTATGATAATATGAGGCAACCAGAAATGCTCAAAACGGCTGAATCACGTGATCCGCCTTGCAAGGCCCTGACAACGAACACGTGCATTATGCCCCCATCCCTTAACCGCCTTCCAACCTCGCCTGCCCCTATTTCGTTGTCAGGGGTCAGGGCTCCTTAAGCCAACTTCGCCCCGCTAAGCGCGGCCGCATTCCTGAGCAGCATTTCATGCTGTTTACCGATCGGCACACTGGACTCTTCCCAAGCTGTCTTCATAGGAAGTGACTAAATTCTGTTACATCCTACGTTATGGCATTGTCCAAGCCGTAGTTTAAAAACCGGCGGTTACTTCAGCTAGTGTTAACATAGTATAATAAAGTTTTTGCTCGTATCTCTTGGAAGTGGCAACTTATTTACGTTTGTACTAAAAGGCCTAGGAACCAAATTTGTATAAAGCAATAAACTGACTTCTAGTGCAACTGTCCATCAAAATTCCAGAGACGACTAACCAGCATTCATTTGATGCATCGGCCAGAGTTGGATGTTTCCGTCCACTTTTAGCTTCCCCGTCGCCCCGCCTGGCTGCAGGCAGATCGTAAAGCATGCCTCTAAAATTCATTTTGACTTCATAACTTTGTTTGACCGAATTTCCGGGAAGCGATTCTCGGTGACCAAATTTGTCCGCTTCATGCATTAGTATCTGGAATGGGAGGAAATTTTCCAGTACCGATGGTTACTTCCCGAAGAGGAAATGAAAGAAAGGAAGGAGTCGGACACGGAAATATGGGCTCTTGTCTTACACATGGTCTTGCGCTAAGTTCCAGGCGGGTACCTATTCCCGTCTCCTCACCTCAACGTTAACCCTTCTAGCTCTAGCCGCCCTGGTATTGAAGGCAAGGCCATCTGCAGTACAGGGGGATCCATATTTGCGTGTCGACAGAGAAAAGTTCTGTTTCTCGTAAAATTAGGCATAGTTCTCAATCACTCCGACGCCAAACTCAGTAGGCACTTGGTGAGGCCTTCATTCGCGTACGAGCTCACATGTGGTTAGTCCAGTTAAAGAGGGTTTGACGCGTGAGCACCGCAAAACCGCCACCAACGCTACGCGGCCGGGCAGTCAAGTGTCAACTCCATTAGTCATCGACTTGACACGCTGCTTCGTGCGCAGCCAATTTCTTCGAGGAGATACCAATGACTGGAATAAGTCGATACAAATGGAGTGTAATCTTGGCTTAGTTCTCATTCTGCACTTATGAATTTAATCCTGTGTCCGAAGCTCCAACCTCATTATTCTGCCCCCTCCCCCTCCGGACGTCTATATCAGTCTCAAAAAGCATCATTATGGACTGCCTTGTTTTGGGTGTTTAGACCATGGAAGTTCTGCACGAAGTTCGGGCTAAACAGTCGTGGAGTTTTTCATGCGTTGTCAAACAAATCACTTTTTATTGCTTAAAATTACGATTTTCTGTCATATGATTTAAATTATTACTTGTCATTTAGCATTAAAAGTCGGTCAAAGTATTTTTGCCATAGTAGATAATACTTTTTACTTTGTTTGAAAATAGACACGATTTAAAAACCTGCTATCATCTCTGACAAAAACCTTCGCAATAGACACCCTAGAGAGAGTTCATTGATAAGAGATGTCGATGAATGCCAGGAAGATTCAATAATGAGCAAAAGAACTTTGTGGAGAACGAGTCCCCAAAACTCGAGGAGAGAACATTGTACTGCATTCAGTAGACGACTGGTAACTTCTTCGTACTGTGGTGACATGGCTTCCGAAGAATACACCAAGGAAATTCTAGGCTTCCACTTGTTTCACGTTCTTCTCTACCTGTCTGACTCTAAACAACCGAAACATGTGCTGCTTCTGTTGTAGTTCATAAATTAAAAAAGTATGTAAATGCACGTAGACACCAGGAATGTGTCCGTGAGCAAAACTCCGACAAAAAACAAAAGAATACTCTTCCCTGGAAAAAGATCACCCTCAAACTAGGAGCGATCAAACAGGGGCGGAGGGGTGTCGGCCGGATAATTTGGAGGAGGACTCAGGGGCGATAGGTCTGAGTATTCCGGTAATTTGGCGGCTGCTGCGGGCGGAATAAAATCGATTGGCGGAGGCGGTGTTTCCAACTCACATTCCACTTCATCGGGAGTCGCAGCGTCAGGTCTTGACGAACAACAGGTAGAAACTGTTCTGGAGACTAGCACCAACTCATAGACGAGAAAGAGGAGAGCTGCAAATTCTAGCCAGAAAATGGCGATCGGATTGCCCATTCGGTCAATCAGAGCCACGATAATACCAACGGCACAGGTGATTAAACCAGTTAGGTCGAGGAGGAGGATCAATGTTAAGGTGCTCTGCGATCCACTGAAAGTGGCCACAACGGCTCCCATTGCGGGCAGGAAAACCAGGATTCCGGACCAGTAGCCGATCCGGGCAGTACTCATCTGTGTCACTTCGACGAAGATCAGCGCGACGCTACAAAGAATCAGAAGAACGCTGCAAGCGAGATGTTGAAGAGCTGTGGTTGAAACAACCCCCTGCATGCTGAGATCTGTAGCAATTTCCAAAGGCCCTGTGGTCAGAATGGATCTGCCTAGTGGTCCAAGAGACAGCCCAAAAACCCCGATAGCATATCGATTGGGCACATGCTTCTCCAAAGCTGTAGCCACATGACGACAGTTATGCGAAGGAAGAGGCAGGTCACACAGGAGGCCAAGGGTACGACAGTTGCTGTCTTTTGTGTGCACTCTGGTTGCTGGGATGTCTCCGCGTTAGAAACTAATCTGAAGTAAAGGTCTGTTCTTAGGGATAAGAGTCCTTAATAATAACACTACGTTGACTAATAACAGACAAACCCCGGATTAAGTGAACGGCTAACGAACAGGAAGTGTCATGGGAATTTATTGACCAGGTAGACTGCTTTTGGTGGAAAAAAAACTGTAAAATATTCCCGACCATCTCTCTTCAGCGGGAAAAATGTCTGGTCTTCTACTTTGGGGAATTTTTGAGAAAAACTAAAGTAAGCTCTTCGTCAGTCTGGCTGAAACACAGAGCCTGTCCGTGAAGTTTTTCAACTCATTTCACTTAACGAAGACAACCGTTTTGGAACTGCAAGGATTATCGCAAAGGTAGAAGTGACCATTAGCACTCAAAGTAGGGAAGCTGCCAATCCACCTTTATGTTTGTCACTCCACGACGGCAATTCAAGTGTAATTGGTTTTGCTTCCTCAAATGACTTAGAAATAATTCATGTTTCTGTACCATCGGAAAATATAATCAACATGACGTCCTCTAGCACCTTTACGTTAAGATAGATGCACAACTCGTTCTCTGAAAAAAACGAGTTTACTAAGAGCCCAAATGTTTTTGGAAATTCGAGCTTCCACTTCTTTGCCGATTGTGCTGATCCTCCAAACACCGCTTTACAAGAAAGTTAATTTCTGCACAGCGACAAAGATTTCCGGCGATTGTATGTACTTGGTGGTTGTGGGGCACGTTGGCCGCTTTTTATGTGTTGATGATCTATTGAAAGTTTGCGAATCCAAAGATGCAGACATCTAAGCTCCGTTACATGTCCTCTTCAGCGGTAGTCTTGATCATACAGTTATGTTGTCTAACCAAACCGTTATTCTGTATGGCTGAGAGTGGACGGTGAGGAGGAATTTCATCATAACTGTTATATGCAAATGTTGATTAACGGCACTCTTACAGCAAACTTATGACACCTGCGTGATGCTTCTCGACCGTTTGCTCAAATTTAGTTCTCAATAATTCCAGCAAACAACAGGATTTCAAATCACTTACTTACTCCTGTTTTTACAACTTTGACTACGCCTGACACAGCCGGCCTCAGAAAGGGCATAATTAGTCACCACGCGCCGCAATCAGCTGCGGTAGCCATCGTTAGGCCGATCTGTCCTCTTCTCCAGCGGCGAAGGCCAAATGCTGTATGTACAAGGATTGCGTCTATTTATTGCGGGTTTGTGTAGATTCGAGTTTACAAATAACCTTGCCTGCCGTGGTTAAAAAAACTGATAGATGGTATCTGGAAAATCACTACGGCTAACCGCATGGTTAGTTGATATCTGCGCTCTTTTTGGAGATGGCAAGGCACCTGAAAGGCATTCATTTAATTTTTGCCCATCCTACAGTCTACAGTTTGCGCCAATTTGTCCCTTTGTCTAATGAAAATAACTGGAAATTCTGGAAAGCGATTATTCGCTTCCCTAGAAAAATGCAAAAAGGGCTTTAGTGTCTCATCCATCTTTCTGTTTATTTTACCGCACTAAGGGACTTTGCCCCTTATCTACTGATTCTACAGGATTTTAGTGCCGATCACAGTCTCAAAACTCACCAGGAAAATCATTATTACACGAGAAGTATTCCCGACGAATATATAAGAGATTGTGGTTGCCATTTTGAAGCTATTTGTTCTTACCTGCTGGCCATTTTCCCACCCCGTGAGGGAAGCCGAAATTAAAATCCCAGACAACTGGTCATCGGGCAGTTTTAAGTCATAAGTTCAACTGCTTTAATTAAGGGTTCAAAGCCTCTCGACAGATGGGATCGTGGGCGCGTACGGAGGCAACGGCCGCTGAAGCTGTTTAGGTATGGTAGTTGATAAACTGAACTGTGTTATTCGCCTTTCTATAGGCCGTGCTGTGAAGTTCTCCATTGGGTCTGTGTGTAACGAGAACGTCAAGGAAAGGCAACTGTTCGGCATTCTCTTCTTTCCTTGTGAACTGAATGACGGGGAATATGCCATAAAGGGGGTCTTAAAAGTCTGGTAGTCTTCTCCTTTCAATTATGACAAACGTGTTTTCCACGTATCGGCCACAAAACGCAGGTTGATACTGACTGGAAACGACTTTTTCCAGCTCCTTTAAGACCAGTCCTGAAACTTGGCTGGATATTGGGGAACACATCGCCGTCCCTTTGATCTGCCCCCATGTTCTGCCATCGAAGGTGAAAAGGTTCGTTGGCAGAAGGCAAAGAGTTGTAGAAAATAGCTGATTTTTAGAGATCTCCTCTTTTCGTCGCAGTTCTCTTCGAGCCGTTGGCGTAGAACGTTGCGTCCCAGGTCCGGTGGGATAGATTTGAAGGCAATGGTAGCGGAAAGGACCCCAATTAGCTGTCGGTAGACTGTAGGTCGTGTGCTGATGCGTGTACTTGCGGAATCTAGTTAAGTTCTGGTTACTCTCAATTGTACCAAAGAGCGGCGAAACAAAAAAGGGAGATCAACTGGGCCATGAATTGAGGGATGACAGAAATGCCTCCCAGGGGATAGACTCAGTGGTTCGATGCTCGGGCACTTTTGCAGGATGGAACGCCAATGGAATATCCAGCTGGATACTTCATCTCCATACACTTATCCTTTCTCTCGAAAGTACTGTTTTTGCCACCGAGCGTCTTCTGTGTTTTTTCGTATTGCGTCATCTTCCTGTCCAGCGTGCTGCCCCATCCGTAAAAACCCCATCACCACCATTCCCGCATGGCGTGATTCACGATATTTCGACAGCTAACTGGAATCCTTCACACTATGGTTGATCTCTGCCGAATAATTAAACCACACCGATGGATACCATAATTTGGTCAGATCGGACATTTTTCCCTAAGCTGGCCAGGAATTTGGAGGCCGAATTGAGTGGGGTCCTCGAGCCCTGTCGGAGAGAAAACTACCTTCAATTAATCATTATTTGTTGGATGTTTCGTGAAATTCATCTTCACTTTGTACAGCAGTCGACGTGTTTTCAGACCAGAGTAGTAAAAGGTACGGTGTGTTTTTGGGGATTTTGTCGGTTCAAAAAGATTTGTTGCATGCCTCGCCTACATTTTGGTTCGCATCTTGCCCAGACCTTTGTTGTTCTTTATAGTAAGAAGGAGAGCACTGTGATGAACGTTTTAATTAGGGGAGAAAAGAGAGCACCTTTCGTATAGATTGTCGCTTTTAGTGGACAAACTGACTCTCACAATATAACTCATTTCTGCTTTAGAACCTTGTCCTGAAACAGTATAAAAATAGGTATGCCGAGCAACAGATTTTACGAATTACGCTAACAGCTTCTTGCGTGCTGCACCAATTGAGGTAGCTCGCGACATTTTTGTGCAGCCTGGGACATTTACACTGTCGCTTTACTCCTTATTCCAGCAAAAACTCTCATATTTAACGCGATTACTTTATTTTCGGAGCCGGTTAAGAATGCTTGATTTCTATAAACAGGAAACAGATGAGGAGCTGTCTAGGTCACACGGAAGTGGCATCCACTGATATGTCCTGATTTTGATGGGAAATATGGGCAAATCCGTATCGCCTAGAAGCTCCAGTGTTGGGTCTTAAACGCCGCTGTACTACTGATGAGCAATCTGTATGTGGGATGTGGCGTCGAAAAATCCAAGAGAAACTAAAATGGTCGCAGAGCAGTCGGCGATTGACATAATCTCGTCCAAATGCTGTCCAAATTAAGTCTAAGGGTCGTATCACCAGTGAAAATTATTTCGCGTAGAACTTTTTCAAATGAGTGCCCTAGTTGACTGCCAGGTTCCAATATCTGGCATCTTCAATGTGATTGTCAGGTATAGTCATCTGTCGAATTGGGTAAATTGGGACTGAGTTGGACTGAACTATGCTACACCCCACCACCATTTCCTCTTCTCATCCTAGAGTTGGGGGAGGGTGGGTAAAGATGTTAAAATAGTCCAATTCAGTTCCAATTTACCCAATTCGACAGACGACTATACCTGACAGTCACATTGAAGATGCCGGATATTGGAGCCTGGCAGTCAAATAGGGCACTTATTTGAAAAATTTCTCCGCGAAAAATAAGGAATTCATGCATCTAGAAACCAGGTGTTTGGAGACGGGCTTGAATAGTCAAACGCCTGTAGAGTGTACACAGCCTATACTTTGACGAATACGACTAATGTTCATATACTATTTACATCAGTCAGATGAGAAGAACCAAATCAACCACGAAGTGGCGACTTCCGTTGAATTGTTTTTATTAAATTTGTGTCCTAGCTTATAGGCGTTTTCAGCTAATTAAAACAAAACGCCTTTGTAGCATTACAATACCCCCCTCCTAGGGGGACGGAGTTCGAAAGTGCAAAATAGTATTGTAATATACTAGTTTTGGGGCAAATTTACAAGTTGATAAGGATTGGCATAACGGACACGACGACCGCTGGGGTCGGGGGGAGGGAGTTGGGGGAGGGAGTGGGAAAGTGCATGCACAAGGTTGTCGGGTGTAAGCGGAGGGGGTAAGTCGCAAGGGGTACCGTAGCGGGTGTAGAAGGTTGCCCTATTGAGGTGGGCGATATAAAATCGGTATAAACCACCGAAAAGGCCCGTCACCGGGCCGTTGTATTGTCTTACGAGCAGTATTTGTGCAAACGCAAAAGCACGCGTTAGCAAGTTAGGGTCATTATACGATGTACTTGCTGGTGCGCGTGAGAAATGGCTTTCTACCCATACATCGCAAATTCTTACAGGACGCTCCATCGAGTAAAACGTCACAGTCACCCCTGCCTCTAAAACGATGTCATG